CAACAGGCTTTAGAGCAATACGCCGGTAGACAGCCAATCCCTTTTGATGGTTTCGCTGGCTTTCGGTACGCGAGCGGAAGCCCTCGCTCAACATGCCAGCAACTTAGCGTTCCAGGCTAAATAGTTGGGAATGGAGTGCAGCGAAGTCTTTACGGGCACTGTCCGCAATATGTTGCTCTGGGTTCTATGTATTTGCTCAGCTTCGTTGCCATCGGTAGGGGCATCCCGAATCTCAATGTGACGGGGTCACACAGCACCTTGCGCTTGAGGAAGTTAGCTTCCGAGAGTATACAATCTCTTAGTGAACGGCAGTTCACATGTCCTCTCTTTATCAAAAGAGAGCGAAGTGACCTATTTAAGGTAGAATGTAGACTGAGAATATTTATAGGTAGATAAAGCTTGGGTATAATACAAACTATAAGTCACCTATAGAAATGCAATGTCACCAGCCAATGGTTGGCTTTGGACGACCTTGGTACCTTGTACCAAATTTCTGGAGTATGACGTGTCATACTTTTGAGGTGTGACGTGTCACACTTGATGTAACTAGGGGTACACTTAGGGCTACGCACCCCGTTACACTCAACAAGCCGAATTCACGGATAAGGGCACACACTTCACATGATTCACAGCGACATTTCATCCAATGTTGACGTAGGCTCGTACAATGCGTTGCTTGAGCACATTCGGAAATAGGTCATATTCAAATCTTCCATCCGGGACGAGAGGTGCCCAAAGTAGCGACAGAGCGAGCACCTTCGCAACTTCCTCCCTCCTCGATTTCTTAATTGCAAGTCCGACTTGATCGACCAGTAGCTCTTCGAGAACGGCATAATTTACCTCTCTAAGTACGTAGCAGCATGGTCCGAGCGGCCCAATCAGTACTCCAGCCTTGACTTGTGAGAGTGGCGGAATTTTTGCAACCAACTGAGAGCCACCACTTGTTTTTTTCTGTATGCGCAAGTTGCAAGAGCCAGTGAAAATACAAACCCCCAGTGCAACTATTTTTGCAAGTGATACTGTTTTATTTGCAAAGGTATCGCTTTCGCGAGAACTTGAACTGTGACTACTGCACCTGATCCGCCAATAAGAATGTGATACGGATAAAAATACAACCTCGGTTGCAAATGGCCGGTTATGTAGAAGTACAGCGACACCAGTGATCACCAGGCCACACGGCCTGTGACGTGCCCTGGAGTGAGCAATGACTGAACTTTCTCTAGTAGACCCCGATGCTTCTGATTGACTAGACAAGAGGCTCATACCCGGCGCAACAACATCCGGTTTCAACCTCCCGTCCGTTGTGAACCCTGCAGAGGAAAACGATGCAACTGTGCGCTCATTGAAGACATCA